CTTCCTTCCTTCCTTCCTTCCTTCCTTCCTTCCTTTCTTCTTTCCCCTTTTCCTTCTTGTTTTCCCTCTTTCTTCCCTTTTCTCCCTTCCCCCTTCCTTCGTTGCAATCCGGTAGAAGACAATAGAAGTGATTGATGCCTTATTTGAATAATTCACACCTTATTTACCTATTCTTGATTACCAACTGTTTTATTTCCAATAGGCCCTAAACCTTTCATCGAGATGTCAATTATCTATCACGAGGTACCAGGACAGGGTATTTATCACTTCAAGTAAGTTGGGTTACAGACAGATACTTTAATATGGCTGCATACTTTTTCTTAATTCTCTTCGTTCGCTTCTTTTCAGATATGCCAAAGCTCTTGTGCAGGAGATGAACGTCAAGTTAGACAAGAGTTTCATCATCGCCATCGGTAGTCTACTGACCAAACCACCGGAGGAATATAACGAGGTAATACCAATTACACAAACACACAAAATCCTTTATTCTATTAAATCCGTCCGTCCGTCCGTTCGTTCGTTCTTCGTTCGTTCTTCGTTCGTTCGTTCGTTCGTTTGGCCCTTTGAATATTTACTGGCTAGTGTTTGTTGATGATGTTTACTTTTATAATTGTTTCAAGGAAGAGTATTTCAATACAGATATGAAGAGAGTGAAGGTGCACTTGAAAGAAACAATGGCAGTTAAGGTAAGTCTAGAAGTATAAACCCTTGGGGGTAATATTTTCTTATATCAGACCACGTGTCATTCTCTAGAGTATCATTTCTTTGTTTAACGGTTGTGCGATTCTCAAACAAAGAATCTCGTTTTCAAGGGAATGACACTTGGTCTGAACACAACTTAATGATGAGGATGGAACAAAGGTAGATCTAAAAAATATTATTCAGGCCCCGTCCACACGTATCCGGAAATTATTGTATCCGCAATTTTTTTTTTCGGAAACGGGTTGCGTCCACACGTGTTCGCAAATTTTTGTGTCCGTATCCGCAAATTTTACGAAAACGGATACGTGTGGACGGTGAAAACGATTCGATTGAGTTGCGTGTAGACGCAAACATTTTCGTATCCGCAAAAAATAATTTGCGGATACAAAAATTTCCGGATACTTGTGGACAGGGCCTCAGTAAACTTTGCTTTTCTCTGCAGGCAGCCCTACAAACACAACAAGTGTTCCTAGAGTACTTCCATTTGTCTCCGCTAAAGGTTTGTTTTGTCGGATATAATGGAATTTTTTCGTAAACTATTATGACCGCCATTAAAAACCTTCAATTTTATCAATATCAATGACCTGAAATAACTTCTGGGCTGATCTAAGTCAGGGCATGACTAACTCACAGATTGAACCCTGAAACTACCTCTGGGCTGATCTAAGTCAGGGCATGACTAACTCACAGATTGAACCCTGAAACAACCTCTGTGCTGATATAAGTCAGGGCATGGCTAACTCACAGATCAAACCCTGAAACAACCTTTGGGCTGATCTAAGTCAGGGCATAGCTACATCACAGATCAAACCCTGAAACAACCCCTGGGCTGATCTAAGTCAGGGCATGGCTAACTCACAGATCAAACCCTGAAACAACCTTTGGGCTGATCTAAGTCAGGGCACGGCTAACTCAGAGATAGAACCCTGAACCCTGTCTGTCTGTCCGTCCGTCCGTCTGTCTGTCTGTCTGTCTGCAGTCGCGGGATTGGGGATGCGGAGAAATAAACCAACGCCCCTGAAAATTTTGAAACAATAAAGTATTCTATATTTCTTTGTCGTTTTAGATCAATCTTAGTTTCTCGCTTGTAACCGACGTAGACGAGGACTTTGATCAAGTATTCGCAGCAAACATCATGGACTTCTTCATCGATTCAATTGGAGCGACACTTACCGACATGAATGACGCGCAACTCAAGTGAGTCATGTGATGACCACCATCTAATTACCCTATTTCACTAGGACGTCACGGCTTTTTTAAAAGGAGGACGGAGTGGTTAAGAACAATATGAATAAAGACTAATTTTACTCTGCAGCTGGATTGATAGCTATGATATGTCAGGTTTCTTAACATTTTATAAAGCGGTATAAACCAGTTTCGAATTCCAAATTACCGCTGTGTTCCTTGATTACAGACTCATTTGCACAGGGTTAGCCTCGTATCAGTGTTTAAATATTCACAAATACCAACGGTAAAGTAAAGAATGCACAACTTCAACAATACAAACACTTTGAAACTCGACGGACCTTGACTGGAACACGTGAATATTTTCACAAACTCGAGGCTAACCCTGTGTAAATGAGTCTGTAATCAAGAAACACAGCGGTAATTTGGAATTCTAAAAGGGTCTATTTAACCTACATCTAAACTATAATTTTACACTTGAATATATTTTTTCCCAGTTTAGTGTTCTATATCCCTGAAATAGCAAAAAAACTCACTAAAAACATTTTTTAGTTTGTTTTTCAATTATTTCATTGGAGCTATTTTTTTACAAATTAGTTAGTACTATTTCACGGGTATATGGTTTAATTGCATTCTACTGAATACCACGCAAGCAACCGTCGTCGCCACAAATTACATTCCCAAAAGTGCACGCACTTGTTGCGTTCTTTATACCTTGCCTCGGACAACTAGCTCCGTTTTCACGTTCTCGCAAAAAATCAACCTCAATGTTCTACGAATTTCAATAAGTTATAGGACCCTTGCGCTGATTTCCTAGAGGAATGGTTCTGGGGGACAAAATAATAGGCCGTCTTTTGTTATACAAAAAAAGAACATCCATTTTTTTGTCCCCCAGAAGAAATCCTCTCAGGACTCAGTGCAAGGGGTCTATATGCAATAACACTCATGTCAGCCCCACCTAAACTAACTCTCAATCCTTTTAATTCTCAGGTTAGCGTTTTTTGAACGTGTGGGTGTTTTTATCACACAAGAAAATCTACAAGCACAGATAATCACGCATTACACGATGCAGGTTAGTACGACAATGGAAATATGAGTTATAATTCATAGACATTAGCCATTAGATAATTAATAAATCTACTGTGTTTATAGTAGATTATAATGACGGTAGAGTGAAGGCATTTAACCCGTGAAATAAAAAATGTCAGTCAACGTGTAATAGTTAAATAGACACAAAAGAAAACAATGGAATTAGGGTCTACTAAAGTGTATTAGTCTAATATCTATTTCACGGGTTTAGTGACTTCACTCTAATTCAACTGATCAACTCGCGGTCCTCTTTTAATGTCTGTTGTTGATTAGGGACGGGACCGGTATTAACGTGTTCATCCGAGTCACTTTAGGCTGGGAGAGTTGGCTCTTATTTGATAATAAGCCTGAAGCGAGACGATGTTTTACCCCCGACTCTATAGAGTGACCACAGTAAATTCGTGAAACACTAATTACTAGATATTACAAAATAGGGCTAGTTAAATAATAGAAAACAATGGAATATTTGCATGAAATTGTGCTATTTAGTATTGCTAAAGTTTCACGGATTTACTGTGGTCACTCTACCATAATAGTTTTTAAAATCCTTTCATATTAAAATTTTTGATTCCTTAGAGAATACAGGTACAATAGTCATAATTAAAGAACAAACAAAAGCAATGTGAAAAGATTATGGTCAAGGGCGGGGGTAAAACTTCATCTCGCTTCAGGCTTACACCTACTTGCAAGAACGTTGTCATACGAAAATAGAACATTAGTGATTTAGTGGGATAGGAATTATATTTTAAAAAAACAAAAGAAGATCACTGAAGCTGAACTTTTTCTTTTGTCTTTTAATGTATTCCTTTCTCACTAAATTACTAATGTTCTAATATCGTATGACAACGTTGTTGCAAGTAGGTGTATATGATACGCGCATACTAATAACAAGAACAATATATTTTCCTTCTTATCAGGGCGTGCGTCAAGTGTATGCATTAGTCCTCGGTCTAGACGTACTGGGAAACCCTTACGCTCTGATATCAGGCATCGGTGAAGGTGTAAAGGACCTGTTCTACGAACCGTACCAGGTATTTAGATTCAGTCTCATAGTCTCTTTAAAATCAGTCTACAGTGTTCGCTACTATTCACGGTGCTGACCCCTCACACGGGCGCAGTCTGTGCCGCAAAGAAGTGAAGCAAAACGACGTTGAAAAATAAAACAGACGATTTTCATTCTGTATTATAAAAAAATACCGTTCAGTGATTCAGAAATTAGGAACCGCTGAAACCACTGAAGAAGTGAGAGAAGCACACTCGCCACACTACTTGAGTGATTTAGGTCGTTACTTCCTTCGTGATCTATTACTGAACGGAGCACGGTAAAATCTGTTATATTTCTTAAGTATCAGTCGAATTTGTGGGGCTTCACTTACAGTACAAGCAACCAACGACAATGATGTGTAGCGAAGGAGGTTCAATGTGGAAAACGAAGAGTCCCCGCTAATTGGCCCTAGGTTTTGTTTTCTTTGTACTTAATTTGGTAAACTAAATCCAACTGAAATTTGAAAAATAATTATCATCTTTTTCCCTCGAACAGGGTATTATCTACGGACCACAAGAGTTTGCTGAAGGTCTTGCTCGAGGAGTGAAGAGTCTTCTTGGACACGTCGTGGGTAAGTTATTCCTGTAGTCTCATAATAAACTGAGTTTATCGCAAATCACTACAGCAAGTACAGCAGTGGTGCAGCTCAATGGGGTCAAACTAAATGTGAGGGCGCATTTGGCAGCCGCTGTACAGTCCCTGTATGATTGCAGAGCACACAACTCTAACCAGTTTGAATTAGTTAGGGTTAAATTGAGAGGAGAGAGGAAAAAAACGCTTCGAAACAACGAAACACCTAGTCTCCTACGCAGCCGCTTTTAGTGTCGTCACGCAACGCTCAGTGAGCATTGCGTGACGACACTAATTGATGGTTTTCAACCATTCCCAAGAGAATTAAATAACAAAAGACACGGCGGCCATGTTGGAGGATATAACAAAAGAATTCATTGACAATTCTTTTGTTAAGTTCCTCCAACATGGCCGCCATGAAAACCATCCATAGCGGCTGTGTAGGCGATTACGAAACACCGCGTAATGTGCTACCTGAACTGCATAGCAGAGTACTTTGAAATAAAATTAGCAAATCTCTTTAATAAATGGTGTTTTTTGTTTATTTTGTAGGAGGGACGGCGGGTGCATTCTCTCGCATCACGGGTAGTATTGGTCAGGCAGTAGCCGCTCTAACATTCGACACAGACTACAGACTGGTAAGATTGTAATTCTTTGAGCAAATACCTTGCTGGCACTCACTTTACCCGGCTTCAGCGTAATATATGCTGCAAAGTTTACAATTTGTTGAAATTGCCCTCTTGTCTAAAGTACCCTCAATAATATACAGTGGTACGTGTATCAAGAGGACACCCTCAGGACCTTGCCTGTGCCCGCTTAATGAGGGGTGTCCGATGAACAGAGGTTTGTTTTACAGTAAATATGGGAAGAAAATCTCGCGACTGTGCAACTAGCTGTCCGTTTAATGAAGGGTGTCCGATGAATAGAGGTTTGTTTTACAGTAAATATGGGAATAAAACTTCGGTACCCTGCAACTAGAATACCTATTTAATAAGGAGGTCGCTTAATAAAGGTATCATCACCTGTAGTAACGTAATTTATGCATGAATATGTTATTTCAGAAAAGGCGACAGCGCATGTACGTAGAACCTTCAGGGATTGGTCAAGGCCTAATGATGGGAGGAAAGAGCTTGGTCATGGTGAGTTGGGCCTGGAAACTCTAGAATGAATAGTATCAGATCAAACGCTAAACGTTTGTATTATTATAGGGTCTYGTATTTGGCATCGGAGGAGTGGTCACAAAACCTATTGAAGGTAATCTAAGGGATGCTGTGTCATCACATTAGTGTTTTGTCTTGCGAGCCTGCGTTTAGGACCGATTGATCGGGTATTGATCGGGCAATGGTCAATGTTAATTTTCAAAGGTCTGATTCATTCCAGCCAGATGCAACATCTGGATTTGGAACAATCCAGGATTGTAGAATTGAGTCTAGCTCTATTGTGATAGCCTGCGTGCAGCCGAACTAACTAACTATTAAGTCCGAAGAAAAGTCCGGCTGCACGCAGGCTCTATTATTTCCCACGATCTCGCACAACAATAAAATAAATATTGTTCTTTCCCCTAAAAATCTGTACTGTGAAACTATATTGAACTATATTTCAGGTGCGAAGTCAGAAGGAGTAGAAGGGTTTTTCAAAGGCATTGGCAAGGGTCTACTAGGATTACTGATGCGTCCAACTGGAGGTGTCATTGACATGGTCAGTTTTACCCTTGATGGTATCAGAAGGTAAGGACATTGAAGATACCTTCTCATTTAATTTTTTTATTTTATTTTATTTTATTTTATTTTATTTTATTT